CTAGTCCATTGTGGCACGGAATGCCGACCGAGTGGAGGGACACTTTGAGGAAAAAATGTAGCCATGTCGGAAGGCTTCTGGAAGGAAAGATGGCAGAAAGACTTATTTCATGGCTTTATTGAGTAAGCTGTTTCCTTTCGATGTATCTAAAGTCGCCGAAATAAAGCCAGATTCAGCTGTCCGTTAGTGGACTGGACGACAAACTTGCGATGTTTCTCCGAGTATGGCTTGGCAACAGCGCAACATGCATTTGCAATCAACGCCAACTGAATCCTTAATTAAACCACATTCTGTCACGCCGTCATGAGAAGATGAAAATGATTAATTTTATATTCTGATTTATGATCATGTCACGCAGACCAGATAGCAACGCGTTTTGGCCAGATTGCCGAGTTGATCTGAGCATGGGGAGTGAGAATAATCATTATGCGCTTTCCCCCAGCTTCCCTACCGCCAAGCGGGGATGATCCGAGCCGAGGCTCTCTCACACCTGTCCTGGCCGGACTCCAAGTCAGCTTGGCCAGTGGTACCGTGCGAGACAATATCGAGGACTGAAAGAAAAGGGCTTAAAAGTCCAGCTCGGAATGGAGAAGAAAAATTAAAAAATGCCCTTTCAGTGTATTTTGAGTCTAATCTGCTACTTCATATGCATTCAAATTTCTGTAGAGTAACTAGTTTCCGAAGAGTGTGCTATGAAGAGCTCCGTTGGTCGACCTCACCCTTCGTGGAATGCTGTAGCCTTGGGCTCTACTCCGTCATCCAAGCCGATGCAGTCCTTGAGACAGCCACTTGGGCTCCGATGAAATTTCTCACTTGTTGAGCTTACCTCCATTTCGAGTGGAAGTGTTGGGCGAAGAGATTCGAAGGTCGGTTCCCCCAGACGACGACGGCGGATTCTTCTTGACCAGCCGTCGATTGGCGTTACTGGAAGATTCATGCTGACGCTGTTTCCGAGGCATTCTTCTTCGATTTTGGTGAAAATGTGCTAAGCTTTCGTCCGTCACATGACGAACATCATCAGAGCAAGGTATCATCGTCACAACAAAATTCAAGCTAACGAGTCAAGTTTTCTTGATGGAGAGGAGAGTGTAGATTTCGTGACTCGTTAGCCTAAATTTTGTTGTGACGATGGTACCTTGCTCCCATAATGTTCGTCATATGATGGACGAAAGCTTAGCATCTTTTCACCGGAAACAGCGTCAGCATGAATCTTCCAGTAACGCCAATCGACGGCTGGTCAAGAGAAATCCGCCGTCGTCGTCTGGTGAAACCGACCTATGAATCTTTTCACACAACACTTCCATTCGAAATGGAAGTAAGCTTAACAATTATGCAAGAAGAGATTCCTCAAAACCTAACTTTTCTTCGAAGAAATTTCGTCCATCCTCCCG